CTTCCTTCCGAGGAGTGGCTGGTGGGTTTGAACCGCCAGCCTTCTGGTTAGCAATCAAGTGCTTTAGCCCCTATGCTACTGGAGCTCCCCATCTATAGGTTAAAGAACTATAATGATTGCTAGCAACCAACAGAAGCTAGAGAGGCAAGGAATAAGGGTTAAGTCTTCATTACAGTCTGGAAGTAGCATGCCCTGCTAACATCTTGATTTTGGATTTCTAGCCTCTAGAACTGTGACAATAAATTCATGTTATTTTATACCAGCCAGTTGGTGGTACTTTTATATAGCAGCCCTAGGAAAAGAATAAAGCTGCTAAGAGCATATGAGTGTTTTCTCTTGACCAGCACTGGTATCACGGCTCTTAGCAGTTTGCTGTGCACGTGCCTTCCATGGAGCATGCATGTGATTGTTTAATTTCTAGCACAAGGAACTGGAAAATTAAAATCTAAAAAGTATGCCTTAAGAAAAACCTTTTTTTTTTTTTTTTTGTTTGCTGTCTGATAGAGCCTGGTGGAACCACTGAGACTATGGTCCCTAGCTGCCTTTCAGGTCTGGAATTGAACCCACATCTGTGGCTTCCAGCCAAACAAAAGACAGGCACAAGAGTTGAACATGTACCTGAGGTAAATACACTCCTTGGAGAGAACAAGCATGGGAGAAAGAAGAGCTGTATATGCATGGGGAGACAGCTCAGGGGGGGCAGGACTGCATGGAGGGATGGACAGAGGGAAGAGGGAACTATCGGGAGGAAGTGGGAGGGGATCTGTTGCATTGTGGTAAATTGTAGTCAATATCATGAGACAACGTATGTGTGAACTGCTGTGTGGAAAGTGAATTTGCTCTGTAAACTTTCACCCAAATCACAATAAAAAACAAACAAACAAGAAACCATTTTTTTATTGTTGTGCTGTGTTCAAAATTTTTGCCACTTATGTACCAGACATTATATTGAATGCATTTATCTAATTTAATGTTCACAACAATTCTACAGCAATTTCTATATTCCTATATTTACCATTTGACACATGATAATCACAAAAAAGTTGAGTCATTTGTCTAAGGTCACACAATTAATAAGTAAGGGAGCCAGGATCTGAACCTCAGTAATCTGGCTACAAGATTTGCATACTTACCTGGATACAAAGTTGCTTCTTGCTAGTGTTATAAAATATGTTTCTGACCAAAATCCCTACCTGATGGTCCATATTCATCTTGTTTTTTTCCCAGTACAAAGTCAGGGGTAAAATGAATGAATTCTCCCTTTTCTTCACAAGCTGTGAAGTGCCTTGTGTATGGTCCATCTCTACCTGGGAAGATGGGTGGCGCAACTAAAACATCAGCCTGAAAACATTTTAAAAAAATTGTGAAAACATCAGAAAACAGAAATGACAACATTTAGTATGAAAAACTATGAAATAATCATTTGGGGCAAAATGGGAGAACCAAAAAAAATACAATTTTTTAAGAGAAGTTTTTGACACTTACGTGTATGAAGCTCTCACGTTTTGGCCTTCTGTATTGAGGGTTTTCCTTCCAATTCTCAGGAATTAATATAGATACAGTCTTGAAAAAAAATCTTTTTTCTGTGACTTCAAACAGGTAAGTAGAAGCTGTAGTCACCATGCTCTATTATTATTAAAGGAGAAAAATATACACGTGAGGAGAACCCAGTGAGACTGAACTCACTGAGCATGTGTTCACCACAGGCATTTCCCATTTTAAGAGTGAATAGAAAGACAATTGACAGGTGAGCAGGATCTCTGCCTTACAATCCCAACTCTGTAACCTATTAATCCAAAGTTATAGCTTAATCCTAAACACTTAAATACTTTTTAGTTTTCTAAAAAGTCGGGGCCGACTTGACGGCAAACAACAACAACTACAACACATCAAAAGACAAAAGCTTCTGCTTAACTATGGACTTTGGGATCATCTAGCCTTTATTCCAGTCCTGATTTTAGTACTTTTGTCACTTGGACCTTGGCCAATTTATGTAACTGTTCTGAACTTCAGTTTCCTTACACTGTAAATGGACTATTATTACCTATATTTAATGTTGGCATAAAGATAAAATGAGTTGTAAAGTGCTCTACACATAGGCAACCAGAAAACCTGGTGGATATTACTGTTTATAAGAGGCCTTAGTAGAGAACAGTCTTGGTTGATGCAAACTGAGGAGGAAAACCTGTAAGAATGGTTTCTGTATTATAAGAATGATGACAGGGAGGCAGGTGGGTTGAGATACCTAATGAGGGGCAGTGGATGATGGGAAAATTCATAGGAGCAGCAGCAGAGCTTCTTTCTATGCATGCTGAAAACAGCATCACTTTATATTTTCAGTATCTGAAGTGCAGGGATATAATGATGAATAAGATACATAATCCTTCTCTAGAATTTACCATCTAGTGGAGGAAATAGATGGCTGAAACACACTTATAGGGATCTATTCTACATGATCAAGCCCTCTGAATAATTGGGAAGTTCTGGACGTTGAGTTCATCTTGTTGGCAGCATCCCATTGTGCAGTATTGTTTTATTCCAGGAAAACCCCTCTTCCATAATGCATGGCCATGTGACTACCATGGTGCAGTGTAGTAAATTGCCTGGTATGGCTTTTCTAGCCATAAGTCTTTGTAAACTCCACAGTGAAATTTGTTGTGCGTGACTGAGGAGCTCTTGATTGTTAAAGTTATCCACCTGGGGTATTTCTGTTGAAAGTGGGACAGAGCAATGTTCTGAGAAGTTTGCTCTCTCTCAGGTGCTTAGAATTTTGATTTTATGATTCATTAGTTTGGCCACTCTGAAAGGCTCTAAAGGAGCCCACCTAGAGGCAGAAGGTGTCTCTCTGACTGCTGGCTGAGAAGAATATGCTGCTGAGAGAAAGGCGCTCCTGAGAAACACATGCTGCTGAGAAAAAGATGCAAGAGACATGCGCTGCTGAGAGAGACACCGAGAGACACACACTGCTGGAAGAGAGACAGTGAGAGACTGTCGGCTGAGAGACCGCAGGCTGAGAAAGACTGAGCATTTTCCCTGAAATTGAATTGTAGCCTGGTGCTTCCCTACTAAATCCCATAATCTGTGAGTTCTGTGTGACCACTGCAGTGAATTATCAAACCTTGAGCAGAAAGGTGGTGGGTGCAGTGGGAGGAACGGTTGGTGTTAGGGTTGATGAAAGGGCTGGAGGGAGGCAGCATGTTTGGCCTCACAGGAATAGGCCTTTGGCTATTGATGGTGATTCTGTCTTCCTCTTGTGCGATTAAAGGAGGTTGGAAGATGGTGCCTTCCTGCCCCTTTAGCACTTGGGTAATGGTATGTTCTCAGGTTGCGGAAAGAGTGCAGGGATCATCATCAGATGATTGTGATCTTCTAGGGGTGTCCTGAGATGGCTTTTTATAGTTCTCACAGGCTATCCAAGAAGAATTCCTACAAAATTCATTCTAAACTCCTTGTCTGAATTCCTGTGTCCTAGTAGGAGCTCTGGTAGCATAGTACCTAAGGCACTTGACTGCTAACCAGAAGGCTGGCAGTTCAAACCCATCAGCCACTCCTTGGAAGGAAGGTTGGGCAATCTACTTCCATAGTGATACTGCCTCTGAAACCCAAGGAGGGGTCGCTATGAGTATCTCAGGTCATGAATTATGAACAAATGCAGCGTGTTCCTTGTTCTGGTCAGATAGTTTACTGACTGTCTGTGTTAAGATCACAGATTAGTTCACCATTCTTGTACCAAAGAGTAAATTTTTGCTATCTAATCAGAGTCAGGATTCAATCCTTAAAGTTTTGATCTTCCAAGTCCATGTCCTTTACCATTATATAATTCCTGTATCTTAGCTCTGACACGACAACTTAATGTGACCTTGGATAACTTATTTGGCTTCTTTGAACTCCAACTTTCTGTTCTCTAAAATGAGGATGACACAATTTTTCTGTGAGGATCTAATGAGAGGATATAGATGCAAGGGCTTTGTAGAAGGCCAGGAGAATGTTAGGAATCATCATGCAATCTAGGCATGTTACTAATGATTGAATTTCTACTTCTAATTTGCAACAAAATTCCATTAAAAAAATTATTTGCTCTTAAAAATAATTTTTCCAAAAATTTATTTCTGAAGGTCAGAAAGGTTTAAAACTGAACTGGACACTAAAGAAGCCATTATTCAGAATCAGCTGAATTCAACATTATATTCTTCAGTAAAAGGAATCTTCACCAGAATGAAGATGATGATGATGAAAATAATAATAATAATAAAAAATGTTGTCAATAAGGGAACACTTCTATGCTGCAATGGAATTTATACAGAATGAGTGACAAATGGTGACTATAGAATCACCTACTCTCAGGCCATGCTCATCAGCTTCTGATAGTAAATAATACCAATGCAGAAGGCTATGACAGCATAAATACACAGTAGTGGAGGAATTGGATATAAGGAGATTTATAGATGTTGATGTCAGGAACAGGGAAAGTAACTTTCATGACTAGAACAATAATCTTTATACCAACACGAAATGTTGTATTTGGAATAAACTTTAGAAATCATAATCCTTCGTCTTGGAACCATTCCTTTCTCCATGTGGACCCCCCTCATCAACTCATTTAGTTTCTTGGTTTAAAATGCCATCTAAACACTGTTGACTCCCAAATTTCATTTGTACTCAGATTTTCTCCCCTGAAATTCAGATTCACATCTCCACCTATTTATATGACTAATAACCTGTTGCTGTCAAGTCAGTTTCAAGTCATGATGACCCTGTGTGTCAGTAGAACTGTGTTCCAGAGGGTTTTCAATACTTATTTTTAGAAAGTAGATTGCCAGGCCTTTCTTCCAAGGCACCCCTAGGTAGACTTGAACCTCTAAACTTTTGGTTAGTAGCCAAGTGTATTAATGTTTTACAACACCCAGGAGCTATGTACGTCTAATATCCAGTTGCTGTTGCGTTGGTTCCAGCGCATGGTGATCTTCTGTGACGGAGTGCACCTGTGCTCTCTAGGGTTCTCATGGCTGTGAGCTTTTGGAAGCTGATCACCAGTCTTTTCTTCCAAGGTATCCCTAAGTATGTTTGAACCAGCAACCTTTTGGCTAGAGCTGAGGTCCTAACTATTTGTGCCACCCAAGATTCCTTCATATGTCTAATATGTTTAGATGTAAGGGGTGGGGAAGGAGAAACATAAAGAGTCAAGGAAGACTTCAAGGTTCTTTTCCTGTAATTGGAGGATGGAATCATCATTAATTGAGAAAGGGGAAGACTGTAACTGGAGAAAATTTGAGTGTTAGGAAGATCAGGAGTTAGTATGGGGCATCATGCCCCTGACCCTTACAGCATTTCCTTCTTCTCAAGTGCGATCGTAGAACATGCTTGAGAGTATGTCCCTCCTCTGTTCAGACTCCTTCTGTGGATTCTCATCTCACTCAGAGTAAAAGCCAGTTTTTACAATGGTCTGGGCCCTGCTACCTCTCCAACATCAGCTCCTTCACATCCTCTTGCTTATTCATGGTTGTTTTCTTGGACACATCAAACATCTTTTCTCCTCTATGCCTCACACCAGCTATTCCCATCCCCCAGATTTCTAATGGGCTGTTCTCTCATCTCAGATCTATGCTCAGTTGCCACATCATCGGTGAGGCTTTCCCTGACTATCCTACATATAACAACAACTCACATTCTCCTCCTATCCCCAACCCTACTCAAATCCCTTTTTCCCTGATTTATTTTAACCCATACCAACCTTCCACCATCTCACTCGCTATACATTTACATATCTTTATTACCTATATCTTCTAAGTAGACTGCATACTCCATAAGCTCAACGGCTCTCTCCCCTGGTGTATAATAAGAATGCAATAAATAATTGTTTAAAGAATGAATTTACAGAATAAACAGGATCATGGAGGCCCTGTGCTTTGTCTTTGATCTTGTGTTAATACTTGGTAGAGTAGCATCTAGAAATTCTGTCTCTCATTGCCCATTCCAGAATTGTCCTCACCATACCATGCTGCTTTTACTCTTCCTGGAACTTTCAGAAATAATTATTAACTGTTAACTTAATTTTCTTCTCCATAATTCAAACAAATTAGTATTATAATACCATTCTTTTCTTACCTTTATTTGTTCAATTATTTTTTCATCTTCTGGCACACTGGGGTGGATAGCAATGATAATATCTTCATAGCCATTGTTATTCAGCTGAACCAGGGAAGTATTTGACCCTTGCAGCAGGTAGAGGACTAAGAGGAAACCAGAAGTTCTGCATAAAGCCATTGCTATTCTCAGCTGTTCCTGAGCTGAATGTTGGTTTGTTCAAGAGGCTTTTCTTTCTCCTTCTCTTGAAATATATATACTTCTAAACATTATCAGCATTGGATGACTATATGATCATATAAAGGTCAAAGTGTCAAAGTGGCATATGTGGAAAAATATTTGACTTTATATAAATTGTTTTATTGTATGCTACTGTATGAGTGATAAAGAAGCATAATAGAAATAAAATCTTTTAAATAAAATGTAGCACATATTTTCCACTTGGGTAAGTTTTTCTATGCTTTCTGATTCTGGTAAAACAAAACAAAACTCACTGCTTTGGTTTAGGATCTGACTCATAGCGACCCCTCCTTGGGTTTCCGAGGCGGTATCACTACAGAAGTAGATTGCCCAAACTTCCTTCTGAGGAGTGTCTGGTGGATTTGAACTATCAGCCTTCTGGTTAGCAGTCAGCTGCCTCAGGTAGTTTCCTAATTATGGAATATACTTAGTATTTTCTATGGATGGGGAGGAGCTCTGGTGGCATAGTCACTAAGGCATTTGACTGTTTTAACCACAAGGCTGACAGTTCAAACCCACCAGCCACTTCTTAGAAGGAAGGTTGGGCAATCTACTTCCATAGTGATACCTCCTCAGAAACCCGAAGAGGGGTCACAATGAGTCAGATCTGACTCCATGGCAGTGAGTTTGGTTTTTTGGTTTTTGGTCAACAAGATAGATTGACACAATGGGCTTCCACAATGGGCTCAAATGTAGCAACAGTATTAATGATGGTGCAGGACTTGGCAGTGTTTCATTCTGTGGTACAATAATTGTTATCAGTCATACCTGACTCAACAGCATCTAAGAGCAATAACAATGTTGTTAGAATGAGACCAAGTGTTTTTTTGTGAGTTGACTTAAAGAATAAGAAAACAGTAGAACTAGGATACACACACTTGGCAAGAATCTGATGTTGTATGTGCATGCATGAGGTTAGGAAGCCTAACCTAGGATAGTACATATAGATTATCTTATTTTTTAAAAATATTAAATACAATTTTATAATACAGATGCAGTGTAGTAAATTACATTGTGTGGCTTTTCTAGCCATAAGTCTTTGTAAACTCCATGGTGGAATTTGCCATGAGCAACTGAGTAGCTCCTGATTGTTAAAGTTATCCACCTGGGATATTTCTGTTGGGAGCAGCACAAAATAATTTTCTGGGAAGTTTACTCTCTGTCAGGTGCATAGAATTCTGATGTTGGGATTGGTTAGTTTGGACACTCTATCAGCTCCAAAAGAGCCCTCCTAGAGACAGAAGGAATCTCTCACTTCTGACTGAGAGATGGAAGAGACACGCTCTGTTGAAAGAGACTAAAAGAGATTGTCAGCTGAGAGATGGTGGGCTGAGAGAGACTGGGTGTGTTCCTGAACTTGAATTGTAGCCTGTTGCTTCCTTAATAAACCCCATAATCTGTGAGTTCTGTGTGGCCACTGCAGCAAATTACTGAACCGAGCGGAGAGGTGGTAAGTGCTGAGGGAGGAATGGTTGGTGTTGAGGTTGGTGAGAGGGCTGGAGAGAGGTAGCATGTCTGGCCTTGCAGGGATAGGCCTTGGGCTACTGATGGTGATTCTGTCTTCCTCTTGTGGGATTAGAGGCCAGAAAATGCGGCCTCCCTGCCCCTTTGGCAATAGATTAACTACAATTTAAGGATTCTATTGGTATACATGGGAGCTCTGGTAGCATAGTAGCTAAGACGCTTGCCTGCTAACCAGACGGCTGGCGGTTCAAACCCACCAGCCACTCCTCGGAAGGAAGGTTGGGCAATCCTACTTCCATAGTGATACTGCCTCGGAAACCCAAGGAGGGGTCGCTATGAGTCGGGTTTGACTCGACGGCACATAACAACAACAACAACAACATTGGTATACATTTATAGGTATTCAAATTTCCAGTTTTGGTGATTATAAAATGTATGAAAAAGTTTTCTCCCTATACCTTTACTTGTCCTAGATATTATACATTTTAAGATTATTTTTATTCCTCAAGGTTATCGTTGTCTGTGGTGCTTATTATTTAATTAATTTCTTCTTTTATCATTGTTATTATGTGCCGTCCAGTCGGACCTGACTCATAGCAACCCTTCCTTGGGTTTCTGAGATGGTATCACTACGGAAGCAGATTACCCAACCTTCCTTCCAAGGGGTGGCTGGTGGGTTTGACTGCCAGCCTTCTGGTTAGCAGTCAAGTACCTTAGGCACTATGCTATCAGAGCTCCTTCTTTTATCATTAGTGATTGCTTTTATTACCCCTAGGCTTATTGTATAATTTTCATTCTAGCTTTCCAAACTGATTTTTAGCTATTTATTTTTATTACTTTTATTGTTGTTTAGCAATATGTGCTGAAGCATATATTCAGTACTATGTTGGCCTTGTCCTGAAGGTTTTAATATATAGTGTTCTAGTCTAGATACTCTATGTTGTTTTAATGATCAATTTAACATGTATTTCTTCATAATTTTTCATTTTGGTTTCCTCTTTAATTCTACAACAGATTGGAGATATTTGGAGCAGTTAATGCTGAGGCTTTTTTGCTAAAAGCCTACTTGTATCTTGGAATATCATATACTAGTTTCAGAATAGATTATATTCATTTTTCTCTTGTCCAGTCCTGCATCACCCTCATGATCATTGCAATGTTTGAGCCATTGTTGCAACCATTGTGTCAATCCATCTCATTAAGGGGCTTCCTCTTTTATCCCTGACCCTTTACTTTATCAAGTGTTATGTTCTTCTCCAGGGACTGGTATCTCCTGATAACATGTCCAAAGTACATGAGATAAAGTCTTGCCATCCTTGCTTCTATGAATAATTCTGGCTGTACTTCTCCCAAGACAGATCTTTTCTTCCTTCTGGCAGTCCATGGTATATTCAATATTCTTTGCCAGCACCATAATTCAAATTCATTAATTCTTCTTTGATCTTCCTTATTCATTGTCCAGATTTTGCATGCATATGAGGATATGAAAATACTGTGGTTTGGGTCAGGTTCACCTTAGTCCTCAAGGTGACATCTTTGCTATTTTAACACTTTAAAGAGGTCTTTTACAATAGATTTTCCCAAGGTAACACTTTGATTATTTTTGGCTGCTGTTCCCATGGACATTGATTATAGATCCAAGTAATATGAAATCCTTGATGACTTCAGTATTTTCTCCATTTATCATGATATTACTTACTGGTCCAGTTGTGAGGATTTTTCTTTATATTGAGGTGTAATCCATACTGAATGCTATGGTCTTTGATTTTCATTAGTAAGTGCTTCAAGTCCTCTTCACTGTCAGCAAGCAAAGTTGTGTCATCTGTTTATCATAAATTGTTAATGAGTCTTCTTCCAATCCTGATGCCATGTTCTTCATATTGTCTAGTTTCTTGGATTGTTTGCTCAGCATGCAGATGGAGTATTATGGTGAAAGGATACAACTTTGATACACACCCTTTCTGATTTTAAACCAAGCAGCATCTCCTTATTCTGTTTGAATGGCTTCTTGTTGGTTTATGTATAAGTTGCCCATGAACACAATGAAAACATCCTGGAATTTCTATTCTTCAAAATGTTATCCATAATTTGTTATAATTCACACATTGAAATTCCTTTGCATTGTCAATAAAACACAGGCAAATATCTTTCTGGTATTCTGCTGTCAGCCACAATCCATCTGACATCAGCAATGAAATCTCTTGTTCCACAGCCTTTTTTGAATTCGGCTTGCATTTCTGGCAGTCCTGGTCAATACTATTACAACCATTTTTGAATTATCTTTGGCAAAATTTTACTTACGTGTGATATTAGTAATATTGTTTGATAATTTCCATATTCTATTGGATCACCTTTCTTTTGAAAGGGCACAAATAGAGATATCTTCCAGGTGGTTGCTAGGTACCTGTTTTCTAAATTTCTTGGCATAGATGAGTGAACACTTCCAGCATTACATCCATTTGTTAAAATATCTCAATGAGTATTCCATCAATTCCTGGAGCTTTGTTTTGCACCAGTGCTTTCAGTACAGCTTGGACTTCTTCCTGCAATACCATCAGTTCTTGATCATATGCTACCTCCTGAAATGGTTGAATGCTGACCAGTTCTTTTTGGTACAGTGACTCTGTGTATCTCTTCCATCTTCTTTTCATGCTTCCTGCACCATTCACTAGTTTGCCCATAGAATCCTTTAAATGTGGAACTCAAGGCTTGATACTTTCTTCAGTTCTTCCAGCTTTGGAAATGATGAACTTGTTCTTCCCCTTTGATTTTCTAACTCCAATTCATTGCACATTTCATTATAATGTCTTCTCAACTTACCCCCTTTGAAATCTTCTGTTTCACTCTTTTATTTCATCATTTCTTCTGTTCCCTTTAGCAACTCTATGTTCAAGACCAAGTTTCAGAGTCTCTTTTGACATTCATTTTGGTCTTCTCTTTCTTTCCTTCATGACGTATCATCTTTCTTCATGTATTATGTCCTTGATGTCATCCTACAACTCATCTGATCTTCATTCATTAGTGTTCAAATCTATTGCAGTGTTCTCCAAATTCAGGTGGTGTATACTCAAGGTTGTCTTTTGACTCTTGTGGATTTGTTTTAAGTTTCTTCATCTGCAACTTTAACTTGCATATGAGCAGTTGATGATCTGTACCACAATCAATCCATATCCTTGTTCTGACTGATACTATTAAGCTTCTTCATCATCTCTTTCTACAGAGATGGTCGATTTGATTCCTGTGTATTCCCAATTCCATCTGCTGAGGTCCATGTGTATAGACAATGGTTATGTTTTTGAAAAATTTTCTTTCCAATGAATAATTCATTGGTATTGAAAAATTTTATCATATGATATCCAGTATGATTTCTATCACCAAGGCCATACTTTCCAACCAGTGATTCTTCTTCTTTGTTTCCAACTTTTACATTTCAATCACCAGTAATTATCAATACATCTTGATTGCATGTTTGATCA